TATTGGGGCTGGAGGATACCACAGCAGGTAGGGCGCTTGCTTTGCATTTGGCCAACCTGAATTTGATCTCTGGCCTCCCATATGGTTCCCTGGTCCCTGCCAGGAGTGATCCCTGAGTGCAGAGCCAGGAGTCTGCCCTGAGCACTGCCAGGCATAGCCCCCAAACATTTTTTAACCCCCAAACAAAAACAAAACCCAGATATTCTCTCTGGAAATAGAAATACAAAATGAAGATGTGAGCAGGGCCAATTTTGCTTGTTCTCTCTCTCTCTCTCTCTCTTTCTCTCTCTCTCTCTCTCTCTCTCTCTCTCTCTCTCTCTCTCTCTCCTTGAAGAGTTTTGAAAGGAACAAATGCTTTATTCCAGTCATTCTTGGCTTGCAGCTGCATCTTCAATCTCTGCCTCTATCTTTTTTTTTTTCTTTTTGGGTCACACCCGGCAATGCTCAAGGGTTACTCCTGGCTCTGCACTCAGGAATTACTGCTGCTGGCGTTGCTTGGGGAATCATTTGGGATGCCGAGATTGAACCCAGGTCTGCTGCATACAAGGCAAACACCCTACCCGCTGTACTATTGTACTATTGCTCCAGCCCCTCTTTCCTTTCTTTCTTTCTTTCTTTCTTTCTTTCTTTCTTTCTTTCTTTCTTCTCTTTCTTTCTTCCTTTATTTTCTTCCTTTCTTTCTGCTTCTGCCTCTATCATCTTTACATTTTGTTCTTCCCTTTCTGTCTCTCTAAGAATTCCCAACACGTTGACTTAAAGGCCACTCCAACTTCAGTATGACCCCAGCGTACATACCAATTTCACCTGCAAAGACCTCATTTCCAGGTAAGGTCATATGAACAGATACTGGGAACTTATGTGCCAGTATCTTTTTGTGAGAGCACAATTCAACCCACTATATCTTATGATGATCAGGAAGTATCAGACACAATATCAGAAACGTCAAGTTGGGGGCTGGAGAGATAGCACAGCGGGTAGGGCGTTTGCCTTGCACGCAGCCTCCCGGGTTCGATTCCCAGCATCCCATATGGTCCCCTGGGAACCGCCAGGAATAACTCCTGAGTGCAGAGCCAGGAGTAACCCCTGTGCATCGCCGGGTGTGACCCAAAAAGCAAAAAAACAAAAACAAAAAGCACGTCAAGTTGGAGGCTGAAGTACAATAGGTACAGCATGTGCTTTGCCAGATTTGATCCGGATTTGATCCCCAGCATCCCATATGGTCCCCAGATCCCCACCTGAAGCATCCCTGAATACAGAGCCAGGAGTAAGGCCTGAGCACCACTGGGTCTGACTCCCAAAACAAAAACAAACAAAAAGTGAAAAAGGAAAAGAAACCAGCTCGATAGGCAAATCCAATCACCATGGTGACCTGAGCCTTCCCCAGGGGCAGGTAGGACCCTGGGAGAGAAGGGTATTCGATATGCCAGACACAGTAACAACAAAGTCTCCAATGGAGACGTTACTGGGCCCGCTCGAGCAAATCGACGATCAACGGGAGGGCCTTTACCTTTACCTTTTATCCAGAGAGCTGGAGGATTAAGGCTTTGCTGTGGCATCAAGGCAGTTCGAGAGCCCATCTGGGGGTTGGGGAATATGGGATACCGGTGGTCAAACCTGGGTCAGCTGTGTGCAAGGCAAATGCCCGGCCCACTATGGCTCTGGGCCTGTTCTTGTGCTTTTGGTTTGGACCCACATTTGGCAGCGCTCAAGGCTTACTCCTTGCTCTGCACTCAGGGATCACGCCTGGTGCTGCTGGGGAATCAAATTATGCAAGGCGAGGACCCTTCCCACTGTGCTCTTGCCCCAGCTAAGACTCTTCTCAGCCTTTCCATGGGCAGCTCTTTGAGGGGTTCCTGTGTGGCTGGAGCTGCATAGGGAGCACAGCCAGTAAGCTCCCTTCAGTCATGGCTTGTGATTTATCAGGTGACCGACAACGAAGGCTCACGCTGCTGAGAGCACAACTACAAGCTAAGATTTCAGCTCTGAGGAGAAGCCGGGGCATCCCTCAGCTGGCTCCCCAGAGACTGGCAGTGTTTTCTTCCCTTTCCTCTCCCTCCTCCCTCAATTACTCCGGATACCTGAGAAGTCATTTTAGTGACTCATCGGGGATGAGAATTCCTAGTGGCAAATGCAGGTATTGCAGTGACCCACACTGCAGAAGAAAGGGGGTACTGGGTAAGGTTGGAGGTGAAGAGAGGGGATGAGTGTAAGGGGGCCGGGGGAAGTGTGTCTGACCCAGGTTTTCCCTTTCTGCGTAATGAATATGCCCCGGCAGAGTCATGGCCAGTGGACAACAGCTCCTAAAACCAATTTGAAGATATGAACACACCTGGACCTCCACCCCCATCATCCTCTCTCTCTCTCTCTCTCTCTCTCTCTCTCTCTCTCTCTCTCTCATTTTCTTTCTCTCTCTCTCTCTCATTCTCTTTCTCTCTCCCCCCCTTCTGGGCATTATGCTTTGCAATATAGGTACTGGGAGGTTATCATGTATATCCAGATTCCAGATGGGACTTCTTATTATGTCGAAGTGGGGCATCTCTGGGCATCTGCAGCCCCCTCCCTCTCCCCTCACCCCATCACAGGCCCTATCCCAGGACTGGGGGCTTGTCTCTTTCCTGGGGAGGTTGCCCTGGTTGGCAGGGCCCAAGGACCCCTCAGTGAGCAGGCCTGGTTGCTCCAGTACCACCTACCAAAAGCCCAGGATCTGACGCTGCTGCTGGAGCAGTGTGCTGATAAGAAGCAGCCTCAGTCCCATGTTCTGGCACAGGCACCAGGCACTCTGCCCACTGCAGGGGCAGGCTGGCATGCAGGAGGCTGAGAGGCAGTGTGCCCCTCTCTTTACACCTAAGATGAGGTTTTATTGGGGGGGGGCACACCTGTCAATGATCAGGGATTATTCTTGGCTCTACACTCAGGAATTACTCCTGGCAGTACTTGGACAGAGACCATATGGGGTACTGGGGATCGAACCTGGGTCTACTGGGTGCCAGGCAAACACCCTGCCTACCGTACTATCTCTCCAGGCCCTGAGATGAGTCTTTTGGAGGAATGGGGCCTGCTTACCTACCCAAGCCATCTAGAGTGGCCCTAGTAGCTTCCAATCCCTGGCCAGCATCTGTGGGCACAGTCCTCATCACCCCCAGCCCCCAGCATCAGTGGTTTTAGAACGTTGATCTCTTTTCCAGAATCCGCACGAGTTCTGGGAGGCCCAGAACCTCTTCCAAGCTGCTTAAGATGTGGAACTCCAGACCAAGGCACATCTCCTTACCAGGACAGCTTACATTACTTTTTTTGGTGGTTGTTGTTGGTGGGGGGGGGGGTCCCCTGAGGGATAAATCTGGCAGTACTCAGGAGGCATTGCAGTACCAAGACTCGAACCCCCCAAAGCTAGCATGCCAGGCATGCACACCAGCCCTCTGAGCTTGCCCCCTTGCCCCTGGCATCATTTGCATTCTTTCAACCCTCTTGGCAGACTCAGAGGGAGTCAGACAAGCACAGCCAGACCCCTGAGCCCTCCCAGGGACTCACCAGGGAGGAAGTGGGAGGGCGGCCATGGTACCAGCAAGTAGATGACAGGGCTCACGGTTCAAAGCTCAAGCTTGGTGGGGAGGACGGAGGAGGAGAGCGCCTGTCAAAGAGCCCCTCCTGCGGGGGGCCGCAGGCACTTACCTCTTGTCACCAGCAAGAATGAGGTTAGGGTCCTTCCCCAGTGCCTCCTCTGGGGTGGGGTCTGCAGCTGAGACTGGAGGCTCTGTGCCCCCTCCCTGGCTAGAGTTCTCCCAGCACCCGGCACCCTCCTCTGCTCCCTGCTGACTTGGAGCTGGGCCCAGCAGCTTACGAGGCTGTTATCTCCCCAAAGACAGCTGTGCAGGGCTGAAGGCAGCAGATTATCAGGGAGCTGCAGTGATTCACGGCCGAGTACCGGCTTCTCTGCTGAATAGTAATTTCCAGCAGGGGATTTGTGCTCGGTCTCTCTCCTCCCCCTCTCCCAAGGGTGTGCTGTCCTTTCTCAGAGCAGTGAAGGGAAACACCTACCCTGGGGATGGGGGGCTTGGTGCCAGCGTCCTGAATGGAGCTCGGGCTCCATAGGTCTACGTGCCCCAGCAAGCCTGCCACCCTGGGCAGTGACCCCAGCAACAGTTCACCAATGCATCCGCCTTCCCCCTTCCACAAAAGCACTGGGTGCTCTCCTTCCAAGTGACCGCACTCGGAGGGGACACAATTCCCCACTACCGGCCCCCTCCAGTCACAAGCCCCTGGAGTTAGAAGAGCCTGGGAGGGCAGCGGAGAGGGCAGCTGGGGACCGGGCACGGAACCCTGGTCTCCGGAAGCTCTCGGCGTTCCATGCCTCACCCTGAAGATGCCAATGGGGACCGAGCGGCTGGCAGAGCAGCCCCTGCATGGGCCAGCGGCTAGGAAAGAACCACGGACAGCGCCATTGTTGCGTCTGTTTTATTGGAAGCCAGACTCCAGCTGTGGGTTTGAGGATGGGGGGTGGGCTGGGGTGCAGCGAAGCTCCCGAGAGGCTCCTTCCAGGCCCAGCTCCGAGACGGGGGGAGCCGAAGCTCAGGAGCCCCTGGAGGACGTCGTGATTTCGGGGCGCTCCTTAAAAGCAGGGGAACGAGCCAGAAAGGAAAGCGTCCGGGGGCGAGGGGCGGAACGCGGCTCCCACGACTCAGTCCCTCGCCCCCGCCCTCCGTCCCTTTCTCACCCTCGGTCCTCCACTGCCCGTGCTCCGGGGAAGTTCCGGGAGCTCCCCTCGAACCCCGCTGCCCCCACCTCCTCTCCGATGCTCAGATGCTCGACGCCAAGAGCCCTCGGGGGTCTGGGCAGCGCTCGAGCCCCGCCGGGCCCTGCCCGAACGAGGTCCCAGGGCAGCTGAAGCCGGAGCTCGGGGTCTTCAGGCGGAGCGAGAAGCGGCGGGGACCCCGGAGGGCGGGGAGTCCCGCCGGCCTGGGGGGATCCGGGTCCGGGCTGCGGCCGGGTCGGTCCGCCGGGCGTCAGGCCCTCGGGCCCCCCTCGGCGGCCCCCGGCTCGGGCCGCGCCCGCTTGGCCGGGCCCTGCCCCGCGGGGGGCTCCCCGGGGCTCCTCCGGGCGGCGGGCGGCGCCGAGGGCGCGGGCTGGGGGCCCGGCGGCTGGTAGCCCGGCTGGCGCGGGTCCAGGGCGTCCTTGGACAGCAGGATGGCCAGGCTGGGCACGTTCTTCAGGACGCTGAGGCTGGCGGCGGGCGCGGCGGGCTCGGGGCCCGGGCGCTGCCACTCCTCGCGCACGCTCCGGTAGCGCAGCCGCGTGACCTGGTGCAGCCCGGCCAGGCGGCGCTTGAGGATCTCGGCGCACGTGACGGCCTTGGTGGTGGCCCGGCCGCAGCCGCTGAAGACGATGGCGCGCGTGGCCGGCTGCGCCATGCTGGCGGCGGCGAAGGCCAGCAGGTTCCGGATCTTGCTGCCCTCCTTGACCCGCATGTGCACGGCGCCCGGCGCCAGGTCGGCGAAGGGGCCGGCGCCCGCGCCGCCGCCCTCGGCCGCGCCCCCCGCCGGCGCCTCCTCGGAGCGCACCTTGCGGAAGTTCTCCATGCGCTCAGCCCCGGGGCCGCTGCATGGCCGCGGGCGCGCCGGGCGGCCCGGGCGAGGGCGCGCGGGCGGCGGCTCCCGCTCCCGCGCGGCGCCCGGAGACGCGGCGGGGGCGCCGGGCCGCGGGGAGCCCCCGCCCTCCCGCCAGGCCCCGCCCCGCGCGCGCCGCCCCGCCCCCCGCGCCCCCCGCGCCCCCCACCCCGGCGCCCGCCCGCCCGCCCGCGGCTCGTCTTAAAGCAGCGGCGCCCCCGCGCGCTCCCACGAAAGCGCCCCTGGACCCCCGAGAGCTTTCCGAGCGGGGCTTCTCGTCCCCCCCCACTCAGGGGCTGCGCTCGCCGCCCTCCCCGCCCCCCCCCCCCCCGCGGTCCCGCCCGCGCCCGAGCCGGCGTGGTCGCCTCAAGGACGGCGGGAGCGCGGTCAGCCGAGCGCGGGAGGTGCCGGCTGGGTCTCCTCTCCGAGCGGTCCGAGCGGGGCCCAGCAACCCGGTCCGCCGCCAGGCTCCGGCCCGCGCTGCTCCGCCAGCTACCTGGAGGGAGAGGGAGAGCGAGCGAGCAAGGAGACCCCTTTACCGAGGGGCCTTGAGCCCCCTGCCCGCTTGCCTGCAACCCCACCGTTAGGGGGGCGCGTGCTCCGGGTGGAATTATCACCCCCACTCCCAGCTCCACCTATCCCGAGCTAATGCAGTCTTCTGGGGGAGAAAAAAAAAAGAGGGGCAGGTTTGGAGAAAGGAGTGGAAGTTGATTGTCGGGGTTCGGGGGCATTTTGAAGCTGCCGGGGTGCTTCTTTTCGGGAACCGTTACTGGGGGGACCGAGTGGTGAGGATAGGCTTGAAGTGGCACTGGCGGGAGGGACAGGGAAGAAGGGGCGGGACCCTCTCGAGAACCCTGAAGCCCCAACCTTCATCCTTCCAGCCCACTTCCACTCACGCCCTCTGAACCTCTGAACCGAGTGAGACAAAGCAAAACCGGGTGAGGGGGCGATGGCCGGGAGGCGCGGAGACCCCGAGAAAAACGCTGGGACACATGAGTGCCAGGGGAAGCTGCGCCCCGGTTTCCGCGCCGCTCCCCGCGGCTGTCGGCGCCTCCCCGGCACCCCGTAACCCTCAAGTCTCCGGCCTTGCTGTTCAAAACCCAGGGCTGATCCCTGTTGCCCCTTGAGCGTCTGGAGCAGGTGGGCCTTTGCGCCCCAACGTACGGATGATCGACCCTGTACCAGAAATCAGGATTTCTGATTGCGCCCAAACTCTGCGCGCCGCAGCTCCCGCCCTAGCTGGCAAGGACCGAGGGTTCCGAAGAAGATGCACAGAACTGTCCGCGGCGCGGGTCGGAACGGGCACCCCGGTGGGTGCCGACACGGGTGGGGTGTCGCCTAGGCCTGAGAAAGCCCGCGAGTGCGGGGAAGCTTCCGTGGGAACTGTTTGGGTAGGGAAGAAGCGAGCTCCCCACCTGCCCTGGGCATGCATGTCCGCGCTGGGCCGACGTTCGTTTGCAGGGGACGCAGACAGGGGTGTGCCCTTCGGAGGAGGGGCCCCCCCTCCACACCCCAGAGCTCAGGGTTTGCGCAGGCTGAGAGTGGGGCAGTTCTGCGTTTGCACTGGCTGGACCCCACGAAAGCGCCTCTACCCACTGCTCCAGCCGTAGAAGACGCGGGTTCGCGCCCCTCGGCAATCGGCGAAGGGCGAGCGCCCCCAGGCCCCGCGCCCCTCCCGCGCGCCTTCGCTCCTCTCTCCCCCGCTCCCTCGGCAGCACTTAAAATGTAAATGTACAGCGTGATTAGCCGCGGGGTCGCTAATTGCCGCCAAAGCCATTCATTACGCTGTCAGCGCGCGTCCCAGCCCGCCGGCTGTGCGCTCCAGCGGCGCGGCGGAGTGGCAGGGGGCCCGCGGGGTGCGGGGTGCAGGCGGGACCGCGGTGGCTCGGGCAGCTGGAGCCAGGGTAACGAGGTTGGCTGGGAGGACGTGGGGCGGGGAAGGAAGGGGGGTGGCGCGATGGGCGAGGTAACCGGGGCCGGTCCGGGACTGGCCGGTCCAAGCCTGGCGCTGGGACTAGGGACGACGGGGATGGGGCGTGGGTGCGGCGGTGGTCGGGGTGGGGGTAGTTGGAGCGGAGAAATCGGGGTGGGGTGCGGGGAGAAGGGAGGAAACGCAGCGAAGCGGAGAAGAACCCTGGTGGCGGGTGGGGAAAGGGAGGGAAAGGCTAAAAGAGCAGAACCCATTGTTGGGTTTTTGTTTGTTTTGTTTTAAGGCCACACCCCGTTGTGCTTGGGGCTTACTGCAGGGTCTGTCTCAGGAATCGCTCCTGGCGGTGCTCAGGGTACCTTTAGCGATGCTCTTTGGACGAGTGCAAGGCCAGCGCCTTGGCCCCTAATGTCCTCATAGCCCCGCACGCCCTGCGACTTTTAAGAAACAGGGGCAGTGGGAAAGATTGTGTGCCAACCCTACACACAGTTAAGACCATACTCATTTTTTTTTAGGTGCTGGCATCAAACCCAGGGTCTATCGCTGAGCTACTTCATCAGCTACTGCCACACCTGCTTTCAAAGGGCCAACCCTCTGTTCCCGTTTGTGAGTGGTTATCCATGATACTGGCTTTTTTTTAATTGTATTTTTGGGGGTGCTCAGGGGTTACTCCTGGCTCTGCATTCGGGGATCACTCTTGGTGGGCTGGGGGGCTATATGGAATGCTGGGGATCAAATCGTGGTTGACTACATGCAAGGCAAACTATTGCTCTGGCCCCTAAAATTGCATTTGTAAAAATGCCTGCTAGTGGTGCTGTGGTAATACAGTGGGGTAAGTTCCCCTCTGGGGCCTTGAGCACACCTGGGTGTAGCCCTAAAACCTAAAAACCAACCAAACAAACAAAAACCTAGGTAGAAAGCAGTATACTACATCTTTTATTGGAGGCCACACCCACCTTTTGAGTGTCAGACTTTTTTCTTTTCTTTTTGGGTCATACTCAGCAATGCTCAGGGGTTACTCCTGGCTCTACACTTAGGAATTACTCCTGGTGGTGCTTGGGGGACCATATGGGATGCCAGGGGTTGAACCCGGGTTGGCCATGTGCCAGACAAGCACTCTTGTACAGTAGACCCACTGTACTATTGCTTCAGCCTTGAGTGTCAGTCTTTTAATAATAATTTAAAAAAAAAACTGCCGGTGGTGGAGGATAGGAAGATGTTTGAAGGGTGGGCGCCTGCCTTGCAGCAGGCTGACCTGGGTTCTATTCTGGGCACCATTTATGGTCCCCCAAGCACCTCCTGGACTGATCCCTGAGTGCAGTCATGACTAAGTCATGACTAAGCCCTGGGCACCACTGAGTTTTGTTTTGGCCCCCAAACAATAAGGTTACTAAAAATGAATAGGAAATTAAGTTTTGAAACACCCCGAGTAAGTGAGGTATCGATCCTGAAGCCCTTTGGGGGGCAGTTGATACAATTTACGCCCTTTCCTATCCTTACAAGAGGATTAGCACAGCAACTTGAAATGCTGGCGAGATTTCCAACAGTCTTCGAATCTTGGTTGGCAAGTTCCTAGGCGATGTTGGCTAATGTGTTTCTTTTCATGTATTATTTGTGATCAAGGTCAGTTTTCAAAATCTGGGAGGGGAGGTAGGGGGAAGGAAATCTGTTGGGAAGGAAGGAAATGGGGAAGCCTGGAAAATAGCACATTGCCTAGGAGGCTGTGGACTAGGGAGTGACTAATTTGATTCTTTCTTCCTCAGAAAAATAGATGCTGGTTTTGTGGCCTGGAGCCCAGCATCTGCCCCACTTCTGTGAAGGTTCCTGGGACCTTTCCAGCTATAAATCCCACCCCTTATGGATGGGAAGTCCCCTCTCTTCCAAGACTGGGAGAAAATTCCTGTCCTCCAGCGTGTGCCACTGGGGCTGGAGCAATCCCACAGCAGGTAAGTTACTTGCCTTGCACGCGGCCAACCGGGGTTTGATCTCCCATCCCATATGGTCCCCTAAAAGGAGTGGAGTGATAGTACAGTGAGTTGGCTTCTGCCATATGGCCCCCTGAGCCCCACCAGGAGTAATTCCTGAGTGCAGAGCCAGGAGTAACCCCTGAGCATGGCTGGTGTGTTCCCAAAACAGAAAAAACAAAAACAAAAAGACAAAAATCATGTGGCATCCTCGGTGCCCAGGTCCCCAAGAGACTGCCAAAGCCCCGGTCTTAGTCTCTGTGTCTCTAGGTACTGTCTTGTGAGCAAATGAAGGATGTTCCAGGCTGAGAATGTGACTTGGCAGCAAGGGACATACCTTGTGCACATGAGAACCGGGTTCCCACCCTAGCACCAAATAAATAAATGAACACCGAAAAGGGCTCAAAGATGGTTAAAGTGTTTGCTTTTCACAAGGTTCACAGCCTTCCCCCTCCCCCCTACACACACACACACACACACGTATGATGCCTAGAGCATAGCCAGGAGTGATTTTTGAGCACGGAGTTAAGGAGTACCCCCCACACACACACCTCCAGGTATGACCCATTACTACCCCTCCCAAAGGCTGGAGAGAGCTCAAAGGGCTGAGAGCATGTTTTGCAGGCAGGAAGCCAGGCTTCAATCCCTAGCACTTTATGGTCCAGTGAGCAACACTAGAAGTCACCCCCAGCACAGAGCTGGAAGTAACCTCTAGCCCCAGAGCATCAACCAGTTGTGGCCCAAAACATCCACCACCCTCTCCCCACCCTGCACACAAACACACAGAAGAGTCAGGAACTTATATCAGGATGAGAGGGGATTCATTTATCAGATATTCAGCACCGGTACCCAGCCCTGGGTCAGCTTCTCTCACCTAGTTATTCGCTAGTTCAGTCTTTACAATCTTCTTTTCCACCCTCAGTTTGTCAGATATGAAACTGAGGCTCAGAATGGCTAAGTGATTTGCCTACAGGTAGAGAGAGAGGGCGGTTGTGATGGGACGGGTACCTCTTCTCTAAGACTGAATTCCAGGTCCTGCGGTCCCGCTCCTCGCCTCTTTCCCCACCTCAGTCCAGCTCTTCACCATGGTCATTGC